CGTGAGTCACACTCTCGTGAGAGGGAGAGCTCACCGTGGCGCGGCGCGGGCGGCGGCCGCGTGTCTTAGGTATTTGCCTCTTCTCTGGAGCGCTCCGGGCCGCTCGCGCGGGGGGCGGCGCGCTTTATATCGGACGCCCGTTTACGGCTCGTTTAGCTTTACGACTGTGGGCGGGTTGTTCCCCCGTGCGCGGTGGGCGTGGCACGCACGCGTGCCAACACCGCAGTCCTCACAACAGCGGTGCCCTCTCACGCCTCCCAACAACTACTGCCAGACGACTATGCGCGACTCACATCTGCATCTCACTTGAGAGGCCTCTTGTGCACACCTGCGCCCGGCCTCGAGGCCAGGTCTCTTGAGGGAGAGGCCAGGGGCGAGCGGTGCGAGCTCAGAGCTCGTCCTTGAGCTTGGTGAGGAGCGAGAGGCGTTTCGCGAGCCAGCTCGCCTGCTTCGGCCCCATCTTTTGCCCTGCAATGCCCTGCAGCCGCTTCATCTCTGCCGCGATGCCGTCGCCGTCGAGGCTCTTCTTCGAGCTCGCGTACTTGGCCTCCTGTTCCGTGCAGCCGTCGAGCGACTTGACGTCGCACTTCGAGGCCGGCACCTTTTCGCCTGCGGGGCGACGTGGGGGGCCGGGCTGGAAGATCGAGCGCAGCATGCGAAATCAAGCTGCAGCCAGAGACCGGCGCGGCCGATACTCAGCCGCGTGGGGGGAGCGATCTTTATCGCGCCTTTGATCTTGATGATCTCCATCGTGAAGACCAGCACATCCCCGCCGCCAATCTTCGGCGGGCTGCCGCTGTCGCCGTACCCCAGCTCGGACGGGATATACATCTCCCACTTGTCGCCTTCGACCATCAGCTGCATGGCCTCCGTCCAGCCCTTGATGACCTGGTTGGGCGCGAACGACGTGGGCGACCCGCGAGCGTAGGACGAGTCGAAGGTGTCGCCCTTCGGCTCTTTGCTGTACTCCTGCGCCGTCCGGCCCTCGTAGTGGCACTCGCATGAACTGGAGGCAGTCGGGTGAGAGTCGCCGTCGCCCGCCCTCAGCACCTTGTACTGCAGCCCGCTCGGCAGCGAGATGACGCCCTCCTTCTTGGCGTTCTCCTCCAAGAACTTGACCCCAACGTCGTTTGACGCAAGCAGCGAGAAGAGAGTCACCGCCAGCACCGCCATCGATCCCAAAAGATGGTGACTCTCGTTGCGGCTAGCTGTCTCGCGGCGGCGGCGTGTGCGCTGGCAAGACAACGTGAAGTTTTTTTATTTTGGGGGACAAGTCCGCGCCTCATCTTGTGATTTCGAGGTTCTCGAGGTGGATATCCTTTGGCCGCGTTGGGTTCATCTCTCTTGGCTTCTTCTGAGTATGCAAACACCCTCAGTGCACAAAGAGGCGCTTGAGCGTGTCGCACATGGATGGAGAGGAGCAGCGGCCGGCAGTCGTCGGCAGCCTTGGGCTTGGCAGCTGCTGTGGCGGGTGGCGGGTGATCCGCTGCCTGGCTGCCATCCGCCACCTCGGGCGGATCGGAAAAGGCCAGCGTCATGAGCGGCCCGCCAAACGGGACTCCAACGACCCATGCCCATGGAAAAGAATTCCTTCTGTCACTCTTTACGCACATGCGCAGGGCTGTCTGTTTTCTTTCTTTCTTTACGCAGCCCTCCGCCTGCGCACCCTCCTCACGCCGAGGCTGACTAGCGCCTCGTCGCACCTCTCCGCCTGCCTCTCCACCCCCTCCTCCGCCGTCTCTCGAGCGAAGAAGCTACCAAAAGAGGCATTCCTTTCGCTCAAAGATCTCATCGAAGCGGGCTGCCCGCACTCTGGGTTGTCAATCCTTGCGCTCTCCTACCCGTGGCTCACTCCTGAGCATCCTGACCCGGACGGCGCCAACCTCTGCCGTGTCGCCAAGGCTCTCGAGGCCCTCATTAACGACGAGGACGAGGAAATTTTGCGCTTTGGCGTGTTCTGGGACTACCTCTCGCTGCACCAACACCCGGACCCCGCGAACGGCATTATGCGCACGGAGGCTGAGAACGCTCTGTTCAAGAAGGGGCTGGGCTACCTGGGCACGCTGTATTCGCACCAACACACGACCGTGCTGCGGCTGACCTCCTTCCCGGAGGGCCACAGGAAGGAGGACCAACGTGAAGGCGCCAACGTGGCCGAGTACTTTGACCGCGGCTGGTGCTTTACTGAGAACGCTTTGTCGAGTTTGAGCAAGGGCTCCGGCAAGTCTCTCGACCTCGGCAAAATGACGGGCGGTGCGATCGAGCATGGGTCATGGGGCATCCTTGAAGGGGGCACACGGCTCGCCCTTGTCACAGAATGTGTTACGGGCGGCGGGAGGCGGCCGCCGCTGTTGCCATCGCGGTTTGCGGCGGAGCTGGAGACGAAGAGCTTTACCAACGGCAAGGACGACAAGCCGCTCGTGAAGGGATTGTACGAGGGCGCCTTCAAGGAGCAATTTGGCAACGCGACTGAGCTGCGGTATATGCGCCTCGGCTGGGGTGAGGAAGAGGCGGCCCAGGTGGCAGAGGTCATCGCGAGCGGGGCTACCCCGCTTCTGGAAGAGCTCGATCTTGCTGGCAACCAGATTGGCGACGACGGGCTCAAGGCACTGGCTGCCGCTTTGGGCAGGGAGGGGAGCGCCCCGCGGCTGCAGGAGCTCGATCTCACGAGTAACCAGATTGGTGACGATGGACTAATGTCACTGGCTGCCGCCCTGAGCAACGATGGGGTCGTCCCGCGGCTCGCGAATCTCATTCTCGATGGGAACCGCTTTGGCAACGAGGGACTCAAGGCGCTGGTCAGCGCCCTCAGCAGAGAGAGTGGCGCCTCGCAGCTACAGAGGCTCGAATTCTGTTCCAACGAAATTGGCGACGAGGGACTCAAGGCGCTTGCCGCCGCCTTCGGCGGGAAGGGATGCATCCCGCGGCTTACGGAGCTCGACCTTAGGGACAACCAGATTGGCGTCGAGGGCTTCAAGGCGCTGGCCTCCGCCCTTCGACAGGAGGGTGCGTTCCCAAGCTTGAAGGCGCGTGCCTTTCAGCCGCACCACTTTAGTGTACGCGCACGCCATTTGCCCTTCTCACCCTCCTGGCGCGTTTCGCAGATTCTCTACGTGGACCACAAGCCTTGGAAGCTGTGGTTCGTATGTAAGAGACGCGGCATAATTCTTTGGCGAGACGGCGGTCTTTTTGCGAAGGCTACTGCAAAAGCAGGAGAGTGGGCCGAGGACGCTATCAACCGCATTGGCAAGGCGCGTCGAGTATGCAGGCTAGTAGGTTCATGCTAGGCGGTTCACGCGATGCTCGTCAAGCTTGGAGTGGCAGTCAGTGCAGTCAGCGATGAGCGAGATAGAAGAGAGAACACGTGGGACGGGCGTGGCATATTGGAGCAGAGGTGTTGGTTAGAGGTGTGTGCCTACATGAGAGAGAGAGAGCTAAAAGAGCCGCACATGTACATGTGCATCCTATACATGTACCGTACGTACATGTGCATGAGGCTCAGGATGAGGAGAGCGCGTACGTACGTACTTTATATAAAGCCGTAGTCCGCACGTCACACCCATATATCTCTGGTCTGCCGACCTTCGATCTTCCAGCGCCCGCACCGCATTCTCCTTCTGCGCCTCATTCCCATCCCGAGCCAACGCGACGAGGACCTCCACGCCGCCGGCCGCCGCAATCGCCACCCTGCTCTCATCGTCGTCCCGGGCAAGCTCCTGAAGCGTTGCCGCGACGTCCGCCTTCTCGTCCTCGCCTCCAACACGCAAGAGAGCGACGAGCGCGTCCACCCGCCTGCTGCTGGCCTCCTCTCCCGACAGCCGCTTGAGCTCTCCGAGCGCAGCAGCTTGCAGCTCCGAGGAGGCATCGCCAGCGGTCTCTACCAGCCGCGCGAAGGCACCGCGCGGCGCGCAGATCAGGGACCACCGCTTGCACACGGCCGCGTGGCGCAGCCCCGTCTTCTCGAGCACGCACGGCGCAAGGTCAGGGTCCGCAAGGACGTCGGTCGCGACGGCGGGCGGAGGGCTGTGGTGGGCGAGGAGCGCCTCGGCCCTCCTGTTTGCAGCGGGGCTGTCCCGCATCGCGCCGGCGGTGATCGCGATCAGGGCATCGGGAGGAAGAGCGGCGAGCCGCAGCTCGTAGCGGGCGGAGGCGAGCATTTCGCCGAGTTAGAATTCTTTTTTGCGTTCTTTTTTGCTGTTGAGGGAGTAGGTGGTCGGCGCCCGCCAACTCCCAACGGCCATCATGCATGTACAAAATAAGGAGGAAGCCCCGAGGGAGTCTCCCGAGGGAGTCTCCCAGGTTTGGCGCCGCACATACGTTGTCTCAGAGCTTGCACATTTCGTGCGACGCTCTAAGCGCACTCACTGCGATCGCATCCTTACCCGATTCAAAATAGGCGAACCTCGGAATGTAAGCGCACTATGGCTGTGCTGTCTCCTACACAGCCATCTTACCTTAAAGATGGCTGTGAGCTAGCTACAGTGCAGCCATAGCCTCCAGCCCGATGGCTGCAATACACGCACAGGGCCTTGGAGCTTGGTTTAGATGGCTGCCTGCTGCAGCCATATACCGCCCGCCCCGTGGCGGGCCCTCATGGCTGAGCTGGCCACATCGCAGCCATTTTGGGCAAGATGACTGGCGTGGGGCACAGCCATTGCAGCCATCTACTCTATGGCTGGGGCACAGCCATTGCAGCCATCTTTCGGAGCCATGGCTGGTGATAATCGACAGCACGGTCGCCAGGTCGCCGTCGCCCCTGGGCCGTGCTGTGTCGGCGTCACGGCGTGCCGCTCCCGCCACGCCAGCCCGTCCTGTGCGACGGAGGCAGCGTCGAGGCGACATTTCCCGTTGGGAACACTCGCTTTTTCGGTACCTTTTCCGATTAGGGGCCGTGCCGTCACAAACAATCAAGCGTCGACGCATGATAGAGTTTTACCACGAAACAGCACGACGCACCCAGGCTGGCCGTCGTGGCCGGTGAACCGGTACTTGTCGAGCGCCTCCTTTGGCTGGCCCGAGCTGTCGGTGACAAGGCACCACGTGAGGTAGTTGGCGAGCTCTACCTTGCAGTGCGCAATCTTGGCAAGAACCGGATTGCGGGAAGCCTCGTGACCCCCCGGGCCCAACAGCACACGCAGGACGAGGTCGCAGCCCGACTCGAAGGCCGCCGCCAGGATCTGGCGCCGCCCTTCGTCCGACTGTGCGTCCGCGCCCTCGAGGCTGGCGGCCAGAGCCTGGAAGTTGGGCATCATCAGAGCCTTCTCCAAAAGCTTGGGCGGCGGCGGCTGGTCGCCCGAGGACGCCGGCCCGCCTGCCACGCTAGGCGCGGGGCGCCCCGCGTCGTAGAGGAGGTCCTCCGCGACCAGCGCGGTCACCGCATCCTCCGCGGAGGCCCCCGGTTGGACGAGGTGCTGCCGATCATGAACGGCCGTCGCGAGGATGGCCAGCTGGTCCGCCAGCGAGAGCTTAAGCTGAGGCGCGGTCAGAATCTTGGCGGCCAGGCGGCTCACCAAGGTATTTGCAGTCGAGACCGAGGGCGACGGCTGGATGACTAGCTGGTAGAGCGCGCCCAGCGAGGTGGCGAGCATGATCCGCCGCTCCTCGATGCGCCGCCTCTCATCTACCCCGCCGGCCTGCATGCGGAGCAAGTCCGTGAAGTCCTCGAGCCTCGTGTGTGGGTCCGCGGAGGTAGACTGAAAGATGACGGGTGGGCGCCGGGGCAGTGATGAGAAGGGCGAAGGGTGCGAGGCTCTGTGTTTCCGCGTTGCCCACGTTGTCGAAACGTCCTCTGTCGAAATGCCGATGATCCTCCCCCTTCCGTATCACCCCACCCGCGGGCGCTCACACCAAACGTCTCACCAAACGTCTCTCGGACAGTGGAAACGTATGACATCCGATTACTGGAAAATCGTTTCACCATCGTCAGCGACCCTCGTACGCCGCCGCCGCGCTGCTTAGCTGATGGCGCGGCATCGCAGCTCTCACAGACACAGACGGGATACCGTTTCGCTGCTGCTGCTGGCGGCGCAAGCGCGACGGCCGGCCAGGCGGCTAGGCCTGACGCCATGCTTGCTGCTGGCGGCGCTGCTTGCATCCTCAGCCGCGGGAGAGCAGTGGGAGTGGCACGCAGTCCAGAGCTCCGACGTACAGCGAAGAAGCACTCATCTGAGCGAACGCCGGCTAACGAGCGACGATCCACCCTCAGCACCGCCGCCAAGCCCAAACAGTCCTGAACCGAGCCCGCCACCGCCGCCGGCTCCGCTGAGCCCAGACCCATCACCTCCACCACCATCTCCTCAGCCGTCACCGCCGCCGCCCTTAGCGCCGCCGCCGCCAAGTCCATTGAGCCCGGAGCCATCGCCACCCCCGCCGCCATCGCCTTTGTCCCCTGATCCAAGCCCGCCACCACCAGTGCATCCGCCGCCCAGCCCGCCTCCACCAGCACCGCCACCACCGTCGCCGCCGCCCTCGCAACCGCCTCCCTCGCCGCCGCCGCCCTCGCCGCCACCTCCGAGCCCACCACCGCCATTGGCACCACCACCCTCGTTGCCACCGCCCACGCCGCCGCCGCCATCACCGCCGCCTCCATTGCCGCCGCCGCCATCACCTCCCCCACCGTTGTTGCCGCCTCCATTGCCGCCGCCGCCGAGCCCCCCGCCACCCATCTCACCGCCACCCTCGCCACCACCGCCAAGCCCACCGCCGCCCTCACCACCTCCCTCTGAGGCGAGCGCGACGCCTCGCGGCCGCCGCAGCGCCCCTCCCCCGACCCCCACCCACCCACGCCCTCGACCCCCGCCCCCTCCGTGCGTGACAGGAGGGCGCGTTTATGGAGATGGGCCCGTGAGGCTAGCGGCGAGACGCGGGACGGCGAGGCTTGGCCACCGCCATCGCACCTGACGGTGCCACGCCCTCGCGCTCATCTCTCGCTCCTCCCAACCCCCCTCTCTCTCCCGTGAGAAGCACCTCCCCTGTCGAGTGATGTCTCGTGCGTGTGTGGAGTGCGGCGCGGTGCGGGTGCGTCTCGGCTTGCCATCAGGACCAAGCTTTGGCGTCCCACCCCCTAATCTTTGTGGCGGGGTTTACTGAGACGTGAGTCACACTCTCGTGAGAGGGAGAGCTCAACCGTCAACGCGGCGCGGGCGGCGGCCGCGTGTCTTAAATATTTGCCTCTTCTCTGGAGCGCTCCGGGCCGCTCGCGCGGGGGGCGGCGCGCTTTATATCGGACCCGCTTTTTACGACTGGGCGCGCTGTTCCCCCGTGCGCGGTGGGCGTGGCACGCACGCGTGCCAACACCGCAGTCCTCACAACAGCGGCGCCCTCTCACGCCTCCCAACAACTACTGCCAGACGACTATGCGCGACTCACATCTGCATCTCACTTGAGAGGCCTCTTGTGCACACCTGCGCCCGGCCTCGAGGCCAGGTCTCTTGAGGGAGAGGCCAGGGGCGAGCGGTGCGAGCTCAGAGCTCGTCCTTGAGCTTGGTGAGGAGCGAGAGGCGTTTCGCGAGCCAGCTCGCCTGCTTCGGCCCCATCTTTTGCCCTGCAATGCCCTGCAGCCGCTTCATCTCTGCCGCGATGCCGTCGCCGTCGAGGCTCTTCTTCGAGCTCGCGTACTTGGCCTCCTGTTCAGTGCAGCCGTCGAGCGACTTGACGTCGCACTTCGAGGCCGGCACCTTTTCGCCTGCGGGGACGTGGGGGCCGGGCTGGAAGATCGAGCGCAGCATGCCGAGGGCAAGCTGCAGCCAGAGACCGGCGCGGCCGATACTCAGCCGCGTGGGGGGAGCGATCTTTATCGCGCCTTTGATCTTGATGATCTCCATCGTGAAGACCAGCACATCCCCGCCGCCAATCTTCGGCGGGCTGCCGCTGTCGCCGTACCCCAGCTCGGACGGGATATACATCTCCCACTTGTCGCCTTCGACCATCAGCTGCATGGCCTCCGTCCAGCCCTTGATGACCTGGTTGGGCGCGAACGAGGTGGGCGACCCGCGAGCGTAGGACGAGTCGAAGGTGTCGCCCTTCGGCTCTTTGCTGTACTCCTGCGCCGTCCGGCCCTCGTAGTGGCACTCGCATGAACTGGAGGCAGTCGGGTGAGAGTCGCCGTCGCCCGCCCTCAGCACCTTGTACTGCAGCCCGCTCGGCAGCGAGATGACGCCCTCCTTTTTGGCGTTCTCCTCCAAGAACTTGACCCCAACGTCGTTTGACGCAAGCAGCGAGAAGAGAGTCACCGCCAGCGCACACATCCTGTGCGGTCGCGGCGGCGGCGTGTGCGCTGGCAAGACAGCGCGAAGCTTTTATTTTTGGGGACAACGTGTGAGTCACTCCGGCTGCGCGCCTGACCGGTGCGGCCAGCGGCCTCCGAGTCGGCGTCTAGCGCGCGGGATAAGGTTTTTGCTCGCCTTCCCTGGGATCCCGTGTTGCGTGACTCTGTGCGATTTCGGGCCCGGGGTTGTGCGTTTACGTGAGTCAAAAGTTGGCCAGTTTGCTCGGCCCGGAGGGCCGGGTAGGAGGGGTCTAGGTTACCTCTACCTCTGAGGGCCTGCGGCCCTCTTACCTTTACCTCTGGGCAGCCGCGGGCCCTTTACCTCTACCTCTGAGCGACGTAGCCGTGATTTACCTGTGCGGTGATCTCCACAGTGATCTCGAGTGATCTCGCAGCTATCTCGTATCTGTAATTTTATTACATACTAGAAAAAAACAGAACGGCAGCGCACGTTTCGGTGCTTCGGCGAGCGCTCGACTCGGGCCGCGCTATCAAAGAGGCTTGCACTCACAAGCCCAAGCGCCATGGCACTGCCAACCCCAGATGGGGTCGTTGCTCTTGATCTGGATCTCAGTACATTGCCGGATGAGGCCGGCATCTATTGGCTGCAGCGCGAGACGGGTGCCCTTCCCGATAACCACCTTCTCATGCGGTCTGCAATGCTGGGCTCCATCGGCCGCTCGCCAACGAGTGATGAGCTGCCCACGCTGCTGGCCTGGCAACGGCAGCTCATGATGCGCGGCGGTCGTGCAATCAATCATCTGCTGATTGGCCCGGGCATGCACGGTCAGGGCAGCGATTGGAGCTCGTGCTACGTCAACCCCGCCAGCTTTCACGAGGTGACCAACCTCGCTGGATTCTCTTACGACACAGTGAAGCAGTCGATGGAGCGAGTTGATTACGGCACCTCCCTGCCCGATGTTCTCCGTGCACAGCTCGCCCTCGACGCCACCGGCGCTCTCTGCATCGAGACGGACGTCTCAAAGGTTTTCCTTGTGACGGCCTCGTCCGACGCGGGTGCATGTGCGCCCAACCTCGAGGTTGACACTGCGCGGCTGCAGCTGGTTGGGAGTGCCTTGGGCCCAATCACCTACG